GGATGGTAGAGGACAGGAAGGCCTGGAGGAACATTGCCCATGGGATCGTGATCAGTCGGACATGATTTTACAGCTAACAACAACAACTTTACACATGCTGAAAGGTTGAGTTTGAAAGTTCCGAGCATTATCTTACATTTACATAATTTTACATATTATAGTTATAATACATATAACCCTTTCTCCAATGAACTCAAGAGAAGCACAGGTAGTCCTTGACTTATATCATTTATTTGAAGTTACAACAGCACTGAAAAAGGGACTTATGACCATTGCAGTCTCTTCATAGTCATGTGATCAAAATTTTGATGCTTGGTAACTGGCATAGCATTTATGACAGGGTCATATGACCACATTTTGCGGTATTTTGACAAGCAAAATCAATGGCGAATCCAGATTCACTCATCTTATTAACTTAACAGCTACAATGATTAACTTAATAATTGTGGCATGAAAGTCAAATGGAACTAAACACACTTAAACAACTGTCTTGCTTAGCAACATAATTTTTGGGCTCACATCTGGTTGTAAGTTGACAGTTGCCTATGTTTTCCTTTCTCTGATCTCTTCATCCTCTGTTCCAACACTTTTTTTGTTTCATTCTTCTTCCAATTCTGTTATTCTATTAAATAGATAAAGTGGAAAGTTAGCAACCCCTAACACTTTCTTCTTTGCTGACTTGTCCACTTTCTCTCACTGGAAGCTCCATACTTCCTTTCTTAAACACACAAAAACTGCCATTGTGTTTCCAAGAAAGGGAAATGAGCCATAAAACAACACATTACTCTCCATCTTAGGTTGGTTTCATGGCAGGTGTTATCAACTATGCCTGAAAAATAAAGTCAAATATGGATAAAGTGGGATGGATAAAATGTTCTCTGTGCGTTGCTTTTTTCTTTCAAAAAATGTGGATATAATTGCAACAAATAAAACAATTTTTTTTTTTAGGAAACTACAAATTGTATTAGGGAATAAGGCAAATTTTAAAAAACATATGGCAAAAAGGAAGGTGCATTATTCAGTGGTGGGATCCTACCGGTTTAACAACCAGTTCAGTGTCTGCGCGCTTCAGGGTAAAATCCCATTCCTGATTATAATGAATCAAACTATTGGCTCAACCAATTCTAGATCCTGGAGTCCTTGATGCTTGCAGATATTTCATTACCCAATTAGGTAATATTAATACTCCATAGTTCAACTCTAATTATATATATTTCTTCTATTATAATTCTAAATTTCTAGCTGATCAGGACAAGGATTTTACAGGATTTTAAGGGAAAACATTTTTCCAGTGTTAATTGGAAATACAAGAAAATGTACAAATAATCTCGACTTATAACCATTCATTTAGTGACAATTCAAGTTAGCCCTGAAAATTTGAGTTATAACCATTTTTCACACAACCATTTCAGCACCCCACGTCAAGTAATTAAAATTTGGGCACTTGGCAACTAGACAATATCCTGAGATCATCTTCTGGCAAGCAAAGTCATGGGGGAAGGCAGATTCTCATAACCAGCATGTTACTAATTTAACAATGCAGTGAATCACTTAACAACAGAGGCAAGAAAGGTCATAAAATGGAGCAAAACTCACTTAATACCTGTTATGCTTACCAATGGAAATTTGGGGCTCAGTTGTGGTTGCTCAGGGACACGGTGGCTCAGTGGCTGCTGAGGTTGTCAATCAAAAAGGTTGGTAGTTCAGCGGTTGGAATCCTAGTGCTGTGTAATGGAGTGAGTTCCCATTACTTGTCCCAGCTTCTGCCAACCTAGCACTTCGAAAGCATGTAAAAATGCAAGTAGGAAAATAGGAACCAGCTTTGGTAGGAAGGTAACAGTGTTCTGTGCACCTTTGGCATTTAGTCATGCCGGCCACATGACCACGGAGATGTCTTCGGACAGCGCTGGCTCTTCGGCTTTGAAACAGAGATGAGCAGTGCCCCCTAGAATTGGGAACGACTAGCACATATGTGCGAGGGGAACCTTTATCTTTTACCTGTGGTTGTAAGTCAAGGACTACCTATTTTAGGTATTTTAACCTTTCTATCTGCAAAACATTTTTCTACCATTGAATTATAAACATACTTTGTGTTGTTATGGGACTGGTCCATTGGGTAGCTCTTCTGTGAGATTATATCTTAAAGAAGACTATCCAGTCCTTTGAACAATACCAATATAGAAAGTGCTAACTAGACCAAATGAGATGATCTCAAAAATTATCTTTGTTGAAATAAGCATTCATTTTTTAATGTATTACATATACATTCAAAATTTGATATACATTTACATTTGATACATATTTATCAAAAATAGCATATCCTATGTCCTTTCTATCTCTAAATATGGACATACGTGCACATAAATGTGCTTGTACAACTCCCTCCCCCTTGTATATACAAATATATATTTCAGTCAGGTTATTTATTGGTGAACTTTTTGCCTTCACACATATTTACATGCCTGTTCACAAACATGAACACACCCATTAACTTGCCAAAGGTAGCCACCCACACAAACTTCTCTTCAAATTCTTAGCAAGTGTCTTACTCTGATCATCTGTAGTCACAAACTGCCTACATCCCAGAAATATTGCTACGAAAACAACCTCCTGCTCCAATTTCTACATTTAGCAGCCCAAGTATACATTTCTAGACATCTCCTAAATACATAGTAAGCTATCTTCAGTGCTATCTTCTACATTTTTCATGTTTAAATGGACAAAAAAAAAACTTGGGGAAGCTTAAAAAGCTGAAAATTGTGACTCACACAAGGAGGGGGGGTAGCCAACCATACAAAGGTTTTCTTCGTAAAGTTCTGTATATCAATCCCATTTTAAACTAATAATACATTATACAGGAGACGTGCTTCTAAGAACAAGCAGATAAAAAGCCACAGGTGTTATGCCTGTGTGATTTGTCCTTGAAGAAGCAGGTGTACTTCAGTATTTCTTTAATTGGAAGGGTGTTTATATTTCCCCATTTTCACTTGAGTTTCACGATTCTCATGTATACACAGGGTAATTTCAAAGATATCTTCAAGGTTACAGGAGTAAAGAATTAAATGGTAGCACGTAGGCAAATTACCAGTGGTGGGATTCAAATAATTTAATAACTGGTTCTTTACCCTAATGACTTTTTCCAATGACCAATTCACCAAATTGCTCAGAAAGTTAACACTGCACATTACCCTTCTCAGGGGTTTTTTCCCTGAACTGGAAATAAATTTCCAATAGCACTGAGATCAATTCTGCAAACGGTTACTGATTTGCCAAACAAATATAGTTATCAATCCATATTAAGCCTGGAGGGTTGGGGTTAGGGTTAGGGAGGGTTAGATTTCATGTCTCTATGCCTAGAAAAACATAAATCTGTGGGTGCCCCGCATTTGGAATTGTGCTTCACAAAGCCAAGGACTTCCCAACATAAAAGTCTATTTTATGCCATTGTAGTGAAATGCAGTTGTGAGACCCAGCATGTCCTCTTGAAAATATATGCCTATTTAAAAGGATTCCATTAAAAAAAACAACACTTGGTCTTAAAAGTTGAATGTGAACAATCTTTAAATCCAGACTTTTGTTATGTTTTGAGTTTGGAAAATACTTTCCTGGGCTGTTTCTCTCTCTGTCCAAAACTATATGAAAAACATACATACATACAAATGAAAACTTGCTTATATAGCCCAAATTATTTACCTACCTACCTACCTCCATCTATCCATCCATCCATCCATCCATCCATCCATCCATCCATCCATCCATCCATCCATCCATCCATCCATCTATCTATCTATCTATCTATCTCTATCTATCATAAGGGATCTTCCATTTGTATTTCACCAGGATGATGCAATGGTCACAACAACATGAAAACCAGATCAGATCCAAACCTAGCCAAGAATTCCCTGAGCGTGTTATATCTTGATTTTGTTTGTTATCTGTAAAATTGTGGTCTATCTAAGGAGGTGATTAAGAGATGGGGAAACATGCTTCCCAAAACCCAATTTTAGAAGTTTATTACGATGGAAGTCCTATAGAACCTAGCAAATAATTAAATTACATTCCAATGCTCTTAACCGAATGTAGTGAAAGATAATTTTAACTTTAAAAAAATCTATTTAGTTTTGTTGGGGTGGGGGCTAATAAAGATTTAGATGGTACTTCCCAAACGAATAGTTGCATAATCAAGTGTTAAGGAGATGCAAAAGATCACCTATTTTAACGTGTGTGTGTGTGTGTGTGTGTGTGTGTGTGTGTGTGTGTGTGTGTGTGTGTGTGTGATTTATTTTAGAAACTCTAGCTGGAACACACAGTCTTCTGGAAGTAGCCCACCCACAAATAAAAAAATATTTGTCAGTTCCTAAATCTGAAATGCACCTTGATGTAGATGAACAAAATATGCTTCTCAGCACACCCACGGGCGAATTTTCCCATTTCTTTCCCCGTTTCAATATATACTTCCCCCTGCCATCCTGCTAAATTCTTTCCTCCAAATAAGGAGGAGAGATGAAGAGAACCCCCTATTTCTGGCACCTGGTTCTCTCAAGGAGTTCCAAGTTCTCAGGAAAAGAAAGAAAAAGAGGGGCTTGGGGGGAGATAGTAGTAGTAGGAGCGTATTTATTTTCTATTCCATTCTCTTTTTTTAAAAAAAAAAGTATAGAGAAATAGAAAGAGACAGAGGGAGGGAGGGAAAGAGCATGTTTTGCCTTTAAGGCAATATTTCTGGAGCCAATCGGAATGTAGTATCCACCCTACTCTGCTCCTTAATTAGAGGGTTTAAGCAAGCTGGCTCGGTTGAATTTCTTACACATTTTCTCTAGAGGACGGCAGTAGCAAGAGCAGCAGCAGAAGCGGCGGCAGAAGAAGCAGCAACTGCAACCATTCCTGGAACCATGACTGAGTAATAGACCTTCACTGAGGTGAAGGTGGGAAGGGTTTGCTCCAGTTAGTTTTTGCCTTTCTGGATCAAGCGCTGGACCTTCCATTGGCGAGCTCTTCTCATCATGAGTGGACCTTTTGATAAGAAGATTAGCAGCATTTTGACTGACCTTTCCAGTTGCCATGCAGGCACTAAAGACTCCCCGACACTTCCTGAATCGTCTATCACGGACTTGGGATACTACAGTACCTCGCAGAATCAACATGAATATTACCCCAGCCAGGCTTATGCTCAGCCTATGAATCCTTATGCATACCACCCCCAATTTAACTTCAATGGGATGGGGGCGACGGGGACATTCTCCCCCAAATCTGACTATCCTTACAGCACTTCATATCGGCAATATGGATCTTTCCGGGACCAGCAGCTACCGAGCCAAGAAACAGGTAAGGACGTTTTTAAATCGGAAGCCCAGAGTTTGTGAGTTTGAATGGATGACTGTCCCTGTTTTGGGTTTCAGGGAGATTAAATGGCTTGGAATCTCTTGGAGTGTTTCCCCAACTCTATTGGGGATATTTGAAACAATGAGGGTATGAATATGTGAATGAGTGTGTATGAGAGGGATATTGCCTTGCCAGAAAATATTGCCCTAGTGGAAAGAAATGAATGGTGTCCGTTTGTGTTGTTACATACAAGACATCCAAACTTTTTCTGGTACTAACTGATTAAACTCTTGGATGGCATTCCGTTTTTTCCTTCACCAGGTCTTCCTTCAGAGTTTTTGTGCTTCACTTAAAACACACGTGCAACCCACCATTCACTGTAGAAGGCAATTAAGGCAAAGCTGAAATCAATTTTCCTCCCTTTTTTTTCTTGCCCAATTAAGAGGTGTGATTTGCTTCCTTCCAAATTGAGCATCGGAAAGACTCAAACAGCCTTCCCACCCCCCTCCTTTCCCTTTAACTATTTTTTTCTGTGTTCCTGAGTAAGAAAAGGTCTGCACATTTTTTTTTTTTACAATTTTGTATGTTCATGGCTTACTTTTTAATTTGCAAAGTGCAAATGCTACTGATGCAACAATATCTTAAATTCCATCATTTGTTTAAGGAAAGGGGGGGGGATTGAATGTTTTTTCTTAAAGAAAAAATAATGCTGAGCCTGAAACTTTTTTCCCTGAGGCAAAAAAAAGAGGCTAGTTTCCCCTTCTCCTTTAACACCCCCCCCCCCACATTTTTCTAAACCGGTATTTTGCCAAATGTGCTATTTTTTTAGTAGCTTGTTTCTCTCCCACACAGAAACCTGTGATGTGTGCAAAACTCGTTATTTTGCTGGTTAAAATCTTGATACCAACACCCACAATTTGATGTGTGTAAGGGCATCTGTTTATTTTTATGAATTAAAAATAAAGGTATATTTTTATGAATTAAAAAAACAGGGAAAGTAGTAACTTAAAAGTTGGAAAAGTGAAAGACAAAATAAACAACTGTAAAAATAATGGTGTAAAGATGAAAATGATGAATTCTGTCTTTAAAAAGAGCTGGCATGTAAATTTTGGCTATAACCGTCTGAGGCCTCTAACTTACGCCCTCATTCCCCACAAATATTTCAGGAAGGGAATATGGGGTTGTGTGGTTCCAACTGTCCCGATGTAACCAGACAATGCTTCCTGCCAAGGAGGGAAAAAAATACATCAAATACATCTAGCGAGATAGAAAATAAATTGGTTTGTTTAAAAACAGGAGCTGGGTCAAAACAGAAGAATAGAGAAGTCCATTTCTGAGATAGAAAGTTTAAGACAGCACTGTATCCTGCAATGTACCCCTGTTGAACTCTGACTTGGTCCTTTTAAAAAATCACCAAGGGAACAAATATTCACCAAGGGGGGGGGGGGTAAGGAAGAGAGAAAGGAGAGCCTAAAAGATATAAAGGACTGGAGGAAAAATAATAAAGGGTGGGGAGGGGAGAGATATTGAGCAAAAGAAGGAAGGGGAATTAAAAGTTTAATCAATTTTCAAAAGTCTTTTTTTAATGGAATTCCACCTTGTCCTAATTGTTCAGTAAATTGGATAGTAGAAAGCCTCTGAACTTTAGTATAAGGTCTGACTTATATGATTGATTCAAACTAGCTTCATACAAACTACGCACAGCTGCCCTTTGATAAGAGCTACAGATGGGTAAATTACACTGAGAGGAGGGAGGCTTAGTAATAACATTTGTTCAGCACGTCTCCTGCAGAATCCTTTGCACAGCCCTTTAAGACAGTCTTTCATCCTTAGTCTGACTCTCCTTAGAAGAGAAAATTATCCTTGTTAGGTAGCAATGGGGAGGTGGAAGTGATAAGGTAGAAGCAGATGTTAAAGGCTGTGTCTTTCAGCATCTGGCTTGTATTCAGTACGTGCTGAGTAGAACCAGATAATGGGGAGGTAGACAGCAGGTCCTTGAAATTATTGGAAGGACAAGCAATTAACAGAATTACTTAATAGCAATTAATAGAAGCAATTGATGTCTCCTTGAAAAGAGCAAAGGTTTACAATTATAGGAAATTATGGTAAATTGCTTTTCTTCAAGGGGCTGTTCTTTTTATCACACAAATCAAATTGTCCTTCATTGTCATGTACAGTAATTCAGTAGCTGAGAATTAGTATTTTCTCTGCTGGAACAAAGCATGGATTCTGCAGCTGGAACAGATAAAGTTGTTTTTATCAAAGCAAAGGTTTAGAAGCCAGCAGTATTTTCTTTTTGAGCGACACTGAAACAGTTCCTTCTGCTCTTTGGATCCTTTCTCCCACCGTATTTCTTTTGTCTCACTTTTGCAGTTTCAGTGAAGGAAGAACCTGAACCTGAAGTGCGGATGGTCAACGGAAAACCGAAAAAGATCCGAAAGCCTCGCACCATTTACTCCAGTTACCAGCTGGCTGCTTTGCAGAGAAGATTCCAAAAGGCGCAGTACCTGGCTTTGCCAGAGAGGGCAGAGTTGGCTGCACAACTTGGACTGACCCAGACTCAGGTAAAACTTTAGAAACAGGAAGGGAGGCTAATCACAAGACAGAAAAAGTGTGCTTAGCCTTTCATCTTTGTTTTGGGAACGTGAGTGTAAAGAAATGTACATTCTTGAAACTCCCCCCAAAAAATTCAGGGCTACAAAATGCAGTGCTTTAGACCTTGAAAATTAGGAAAAATCCAGTGTTTTTTTGAAAAACACTTTTTGAAGTGTTCCTTTTTGAAAAAGGAAAAGATCAAGTTAAATTTTTAAAAAAACCCAAGGGTAACAATTAATTTCAGATGCTCTATCTAATCTTCATTCATTTTTTCCCATTTATTTCATAATCATTTGGGGTTCACAGACTGGTTGAATTCAAATCAGTTTACCAACGTGTAGTTATTAAAGTTCCTCCAATCTGTCCATTCTTCTCTTTTCACTGCATTTTGTAAATGATTTTTCCACATTTGTCTTCTCATTTCTTTAAATATGCCACTTTATCTGTGGGTTTACATGTTGGTTTTAAAAAACAAAGCCTGATATTTTTCAGCACTTTTAACCATTTAAAGTAGATAACTTTCTGCATGCTGAGAAGTTAAAATGTGTGGATTCTACGATAACACAGTATTGACTTAGGGTGAAGAGGATCGCAGAAATGAGGTGGTGAGTTCCTCTGTTGTCATATGGAAGGCAAACACGATGCCTTTTATAATGACAATAATTATAATTAGAGAAAGCCTGAGCTGCCATAGATACAAAATGTAATAATAGAACCACAGTAAGCAAGCTGGGACAGAACAAAGATGGGAAGGAGTGAAGTTATTTTTTTCTCTCTGTCCTTTTAGTCCTGTAGCCTACTTGTATCTGGCTGCGACCCAAAGATCCAGAATGGTATGCTGACTAGCCAGAGAGGCGGAGGAGCATTGCTGCAGGAAACATGTGGGTGGGGCAAGGCAACCTACAGTTTGTGTTTTGGCAGGTTCCCCCTTTTTTCCTCCTGAAGCTAACTGAGCTTAGGCCAAGAGGATTGATGGCTGTGAGAAGGAAGTTGACTTGAGTGGAAAAAGGAACCCATTGTTAGTCTTTAGATGAACATCAGCAGGCCAACTGGTTAATGTGGGCCCTGGTAAGTCTAAGGGTTGCTAGTTGCCATTTGAACAGAAGGAACAATATTCCATGTACTATGTTTTCATTTACTGTGGGATAGATGTTTCTTTAAAAACACACACACACAAGTCTTTTGCACCTTGAAAAGGGATTTCAAACTCACATTTTGCAAAGCAGGAACTACAGTCGAAAGACAGTTAAGATGCAGAAGAAGATGAGTTCACTTTTCAGAGCTGTGCTGAAGAGGGAATTTTCGGAAGTTCTTATTTCTATGCAAGCTCCACTTGCCCAAATTTCCCTCTTTTTGCTTAGCTGTTAATGGTGAGAAGACACAGTTTCTTTTCCACTTCTATGCCTGGGAAGCAACAAATCACCAAAGTGCAGTTTAAGCTGAAATTGGAGCTCTCTTGATTCTTGTTCAGGAGTGTCTTGCTCAGGATCTCTCCGGATCCTCTGGACTTCAGTTCCCAGTTTTTCTAGCAGGTCTCGCTGGTACAGACAATGCCCATTTTTTTTTTTTGTAAAAATAGAAGCCGGGGAGCTATTGCACCGCTGTATTAAATTTACTGATCTGAATGGTGTTTCAACTTTTTTTTTATTGCCTCAGTAAAGTTACAATCTTGCAAAATTACTTGGGAGCATTAAGATGCAGAAGAGTTCTGGGAAATCATGAATGGATACATAAGTCCGCAGTCTTAGTACGTTTACCTTAGAGCCTAGCTACTCAAAGTCAGTAGGTTGTATTTCCAAACAAGCATGGATAAGGATCGGTCAGACTGAAAATATTTCTAAGCTCCTTCGTTTTCTTTGAGAACAGCTAAATATAGAAGCGAATGCTGTCTTTTTAAAGTAACATTCGGTGCTCCTCTTTTCCTTAGGAAAAAAATAGCCAGACTCAGGTAAAACAGCACTACAGACAAAATAGATATACTTGTTTTCAAATACATAAAAGCATGTATCAGAAATAAATACTAACTTCGTTTTGTAATTTATTGCCCAGGAATAAATCTAAAAATAAGTAATTCTTTCTTTTAATGATATCTCTATTTGGGGAATGTAGACAGAATCGGTAATAGCATTTTTTTTAATCAACAAAGTAATGGAAAGGAAACTATCTAATTTTTCCAAAGCAAGACCTCGGGGGAAAGTTTCCCACATGCTAAACAGTGACTGGCTTTAACCCAAGGGTGTTTTTTTTATTTTTTTAACAAAAAAAGTTTTAATTGGTGACAACTGTGTATTCATTTGGCTAATTTATATGCTAGTGTATTGTGAGAATTCAGAAAATGGATTAATTGAATACTGAAGCACACTGCATAAACGTAGCCAGTAGGCACCCAAGTTTTCACTATAATTATAAGTGTTTTTAAAATACATAAATACCTTCTTGCAACATCCAGTGGGATAATAAAGCAAGATGCATCTTTCACTGTTCCTATTAGTTTATTGAAGCATACGCTGAACTATAAATGGTTTATACTGATTAAGTTTACACAATTACATTGCCAATTTTATTTTAGCTTGACATGTTGTAAAAACCCAAGCTACTTGTCTCTGCTATATAGTCGATTTGTAATCCAGAGAAAATTAATGGTTTGCCTAAAAATAGCAATGGGAAACAAAGATTTAGACATTCCATCAAATATTTAAGGCAGGCCAGGCAACCTAGATTATTTGGGAAGGTTTTTGGGCCCAACGTTAGGCTACTATCCTTTTATCCAAATGTCTCCTTTCATTTATCCTAATATTCAGTCAACTAATTCAAAATGAAGCCAAAAGAAAAGGCGAAGAACAGAAGGAACAACAGGCATGCATTACCCCCCAAACAAACCCTTATATTTTCACCTGTAGCCCTAGATGCTATAGGTGAGGTTGTGTGGTCCCAGAGTGAAACAGGACTGCAAATTTAGGAGTTTGGTACAAGGCTAAAGTTAAATGGCTCTGAAAATTGCCTTTAATAAATGAATGAATACATATGAGGCTAGACATACCCTATCTTGCCTGCAAAGATTCAGGCAACTATGAGAGTGAAGCAAAGTGATACCAGAAACCTTACTGCCATCTAATAGTCATTCAGATTAATGCAGCCTAGATAAGTCTACGTGAAAGAAAAAGAAAAATAATACACAAGGCTGGATTGCCAAAAAGTAACTTCTTAGGTAGGGATGAAATCAGGGTAAAATATACTTTTTGTTTGTCAGGGCTTAACTTTTATTCAGAATGTCATTCAATAATAATGTAAAAGTTATAATACAATTGAAATATTTTTAAAAAATGAAATCTAAGCCTATTCTCACTAGATTCTTCAGTCTTACAATTTATAAAATTATATGAAAAGTATCACCTATAACAAGAATGCCTTTTGTTCCATTAATTTTTTTTTCCAGATTGTTCTCAAATAACTTGAAGTAGTTGGTCATCTTAGGTTTTAAATATTTAACACATTTCTTTAAAAAGAAATCCATATGAGTAATAGGTGCATTTATATTTAGTTCCATAGCTATATCTAGCAAAGATCCTCAAAATAAAATATTAGATCTCTGGCCCTTTCTGAGTGCTGGATATGTTGGCTTGAAATTACTTTAGATAAAAATGTACTTTGCACTGCGTTATTGGGTTGTTATAATCACTAGCTGGATCTGGACATAGTCATGGATCTTTTGAAAGGAATGGGACTTAAGTTAATCACAACTTATTTGAGTTCCATTTATTGTAATGGATCTACTCTAAACATGATTTGATCTTGATCTCATTCACTATGTTCAGTGAGCCTTATGAAGAGGACCATAGCCTTCCTTTAAATCAATGTTTTTCAAACTTTAAGATTGCAACTCCGCTTTCGGGGTGTGTACCCAAAATACATTTCCATCCTTTTATAAATGCCTAAAGCACTCTCCTGCTGAACCAGTGTTTCTCAATCTTGGCAACCTTCAGATGTGTGGACTTCAACTCCCAGAATTCCCCAGCCAACATGATGTCCAGCCAAGTGGAATCCCCCAATCAGCAAAGTCTGCACATCTTAAAAGTTGCCAAGTTGAAGAACACAAATTTAAATAGAGGATTGGGAGATAAGATTTAGTGTTTCATTTTAAATGATGGAAAGTTCCTTTTAGATCAGAAATCAAGGTTTTTGTACTACTCATTTGACTTTCAGTAGTACTAGCCACCATGGTCAACATCAGGATTGGTTGGAATTATAGAACGACATAAGAAATGCTCATGGTATTATTTTAATATACAGTATTGATAATCTGGTAGGTATGCCCACAAAAACCAAAAAAACAACGCCTCCTGAATGACCCTTATATAAACTGAAGGAATTCACTCTCCTGCATCAGTTTCCAGAAACATAAAAATATTTTTCCTTAGTTCTTGTATAATTTAATTTGCAGTTTAATTTGGCAATGGATTTGGCATTTGCAGAAGATTGTTTCAAAGGCCACAACATACTTTTGCCATGAGGATGACTTTTTCTTTTCTCAATTATAATTCAGAAAAAAAGGACAAAGTGGGATGGTTCCCAAAGTAGAAAGGTATCATTTATCATAAGCTTAGATTTTAGGCAAACCTGGCTTTAATTCTGTGGAGATGTTACCTTAATGAATGTTAGGAAAGCGACACCCTTTGGACTCCTACTAAAATATTCTGGCCTTTTGCCAAATGCTCATTCACAATGCTCAACGCGATATTCCAAAACATCATGTGTGATTGGTGATACATATACGCACACACCCAACCAAGTTAGCTTCCTCTGTTTCAGCTCCCACATTCAGACATGAAGCTGCCTTGTGTGTCATCCTCTCCCACAAGCCTTCCCTCCTTAAGCAGGTCATGAGGGGCTGGTAAAGAAGCTGGACTGGAATGTGGAGCCAGCCAAGCACCCCGAGGACAAGAAGGCTGCTTAATTGCTTTGATCTAAATTAAGGGAGCAAGTTGGCGTGCTTCCGGATTCTGATAGGTCAAGAGCATAGCATAGTGGTGGCAACCTGACACATCGAAAATTGCACCCAACAAAATGCTCTCGGGGTGTACAGATGAGTTTTTGTTCCTACAAACACAGACTGCCCCATGACAGTCAGGAAGGAATTTTCCCCTAGGGTCACTCTGGTCACTGACCCAAGTTTTTTTCTTTAGACTTTTTTTTCAGGAGGGGGGGATAGGAGATGGCCTGATGCATTGCTCATTTGTCTGAATCATCTGAAGTTTTTCCCATACGGGACGGGTTTTGTTCATGTTGAGTATGAGGTAGCCATGTGATTGTCAAAGCAAGAATTTCCTCCCCTCCCCGGGTGACCACCAGAGAGAAATTGCATTTTTTTCCACTCTTAGTTTGCTTGAATCATCTTGCACAATGTTGCATTAAATGTACAATATCTACTATTTGCCTAAATACATTGTCTAGTGCGAATTTCATAACCCAACCTCCTCCAGAAGTATTGGAATATACTTACAGCCATTTATAACAAATGAGATATAGTTCCTCACTTTGGTGTCATAAGCTTTTCTAGTGGTTGGATGAACTTGGAGTTGTTTTTTTTAAAAAAGAGTCAACTTTAGACTTGTGGAATATTCATTTTAATATCTATAGAGATTCTCACTCATCTAGCACATGGTTGCCTCAAAGATACTTTTCCAAAAGGCATCTGGACTTTTTGGGTTCATTACTTGAAAATGGTTTGCTTCTCATCCAAGAAGCTTCTTCAGTTCTGGATGAAAAGAGGATAAACCAAGAAAGTCCAGCTGACTTTTGGAAAGGCACAGAAGGATTTATTTTAATAGAACTCCTCAAACTTCACCGTTCGGATCTTTTTGCTAGCAACAAATACTCATAATTAAATAATTATGAATATGAGAATCTGCTGAGGTCAGAACTTTCCAAAGTTTGCTCTCTTTTCATATATTTTCCACCCCACCCACCTCCAATTTTTAGTTACTTTAAACATTCACCTCTATAATAAAATTATGATAGACCTTTTATTACATCTATTGTTGGGAATCAGAAATATTTGACAGTGAATTGATCCTTGCCCAATAGATTGGCTTTTTTCCCAACAAAAACAAAAGTCCCATGAATATGTATATTTCAGATCATAACCTAGACCTAGAGAGCAAAAAAGCATGAATTGCGAATTAATATGTAGTTCACTGGCCAAATTTTATACTGTCAGTGGTGTTTTTCTGCAGGTATCACCAAGATGCATGGGTTTCAAGTTTCTGGTGTGTCTTAATTAAAATATATCAATATATACTATGGCAGTCTCATCATTTCCATCCTAGTTTGGTAGGAACTTTTCTTATGGTCAGATTTTAGAAAATGAAAGAAATACCAAGAATGAAGTTTTCTTTGGACATGAGGGGGAGCTCTTTCTTGTAGATTTGAATGATATCTCTGAGTCTATCAGTTGTCCTTCCACATTTTCCCTTAGGTTTTTGTTTTTTTTGTCATCTCACATACATGTATGCTTGCGTACATTCAGCATAGTTTCTGAATGGGATACTAATGGAAGAATCATCTATTAAATACAGTTACTTTACTATAAAAATATTCTAACACATTGTATTTTTCCACCATGAGCAGAAGTAGATTTGATGCAGATTTTACTAGAGCTAAAAAAAAAGTCCATAAATGCCCTTTTCTCTTTTATTTGGGGTTTTGATAGTTGAAGCCCAGCTATATAAAAAGTATGGAACTGGTGATTGTTCCTCTGTAATCAACAATTTGTAAAGAGTTTGGATTATTTCAGTTTAAATCACCTGGTCTGTTCTTATGAGTTCGCAATCCTATCCTATCGCACTCGCAGGTTAAAGAATTATCAGCCAGTCAATGTAGCTGCATTTTAACTGACTGCTCAGAATAAAAACTTGCCAATTCTAAAGCAATAGCAATAGCACTTAGACTTATATATTGCTTCACAGTGCTTGACAACCTTCTCTAAGCAGTTTCACGGAGCCAGCATATTTCCCCCAACAATCCGGGTCCCCATTCTACCCACCTTGGAAGGTTGGAAGGCTGAATCAACCTTGAGCCAGTGAGAGACAAACTACAGGTAGTCAGCAGAATTAGCCTGCAATACTGCATTCTAAGCACTGTGCCACCATGGCTCTTTCATTGATTACCAACTGCAGAGAGATTTCCCCTGCCCAGAAGCAAAAAAAAAAAAAAAGGATGTTTCTCAATTAAACAAAGCAGACTTTGTTCCAAACTCCCCATGCTTCCTTGTTTTGATTAGGAAGAGTTTCTGTCTCCACTGTCGTTGATCCTTTATCCTTTCTTCCTACCCACCACCCACTTCCTTTTGTTTTACTTCTACTCTTTCTCTAGAGTGGGATGTAGATGGAGTCACACAACTCTACAATGGTATTGGGAAGATTTCCAGCCAGCTAGGCCACTATTCCAGCCCTGCCCAAAGTTTCACCATGGCAGTCATCCCAATCCCAATGTTTAGCATCCTTGAAAGACTTGTAAAACCTTTTGAGCAAGCTTTTGTCACCTGACTCTTTTTTTTTTTTTGCAATGAGCCACAGTTCCCTGCTTCTATTAACACACATTGGTTGGTAGACCATTTTAGAAATTGGCTTGTATTTGTAGTCCTACTTTTCAAAAGGAATGTGGGGTATGCTTATTTTCTTCTACACATTCCTAGAAAGAGTTTAGAGCAGAGATGGCTATTACCTCTATGATTTACTCTCACAAACTTTCTGCAATTTAGAGTTAGATTGATGAATAGTAATTAGATCCACTGTTTATGCTAAGTCAAAACTAAACACAATAAAAGTGTTGCATAGCATGGTCTTTACAGTCAGGCATAATTGTAGCTCATGGTTTAGTGCAATTTGTGAATCCATATAAGATCTTTGACCTATCTACTCCAATCTTTCCAAACATATCTGAAATTGCCAGGATTTGAGTCTTTTCCCTGTTTCATGAAATCCACTGAGCCCACAGAGCTCTTTTTGAACTGGACAAGTAATACTTTTCCTTGGGTTGATGGGGGAAATGTAGAGCTTTATCTTTGGTGGGGACAGGACTGGCTTAGAATAGAATAGATGCAGCCTATTCTACAAATTAAATAATGTTCTTTCTTTCTTGCAGGTCAAAATATGGTTCCAGAACCGGAGGTCTAAATTTAAGAAATTGTACAAAAATGGAGAGGTCCCCTTGGAACACAGCCCAAATAACAGTGACTCCATGGCTTGCAATTCTCCACCATCTCCCACCCTCTGGGACAGTAATACTCATAATAACCCAGCCACCAGGAGCCAAATCCCCCAGCCACTCTCTTATATCTCTCCCTCAAGCTACCTGGAAGATCAGAATTCTTGATTCCATCATCAGAATCTGAATGGGCCTCACATACAACAACAGGGACCTCCGACCACTTCTGGCTCTATGCATCATCCATCTCCAGGGCCTCCTCCCAATCCTGGAGCGGTTTATTAACCTCCTTTCCCTCCTCAATGAAACCAGTGGAGCAGGAAAAAAGGAATGAGGGAGAGGGAGCCAGAGAGGGAGAGAAAAAAAACAGAAGGCAACAAGTTAAAACCCTTTGATATCTTTCACGGGACAGGTACACATTCCATCTCATCTCAGAAACAACTGAACTGCAGCAGGGCTAAGACATTAGGGGAGACCATTGGGTGCGGGGGGGGGGAGAGGGGGTAAAGAAATGTGAAAGGGAGAGAAAATATTTGCAGCCCATGTTGTACCTCAGTCAAATCAGTTCCATCAAGAACTCTTGTTACCCACTTCCTGGATGATTTGTCTCTGGTCTAATTGTTCCCAGTTTCCACCATCAGCTGGGTGGCTCTCAGCATGGTTAGAGACAAGCAAAAAGCTACATGGCAAAGGAGAAAAAAATGTTTTATTCCCTTTTAGTTATTTTGTTTTTGCTTTGTTTTTTGGGTTGATGACCACCTCAAACAGAGTGGTTTTGAGGAGTATCAAATTCATGTGTCTTATGAAAGATTGGTATGGTTGCAAATACCAATCAATTATTCATGCCTATAAAAGGAATAGGCTTCAGCTGTTAGCTACCCATGCAGTTGGGAATGGGAACAATTTAATATAAACAACTCCCCCCCCCCCATTTTATACACCACCTTGCAAATACTGTCCCACTGGAAATTGTAGCAATGCTCTAGGGAGAGGTAGATGACAGCAACTATTAATGTGATAGATTTTGTAATCACTTTAGGATTAAATTCACTTCATAGGTGTTACACAAAAACTGGTCAGTATATAGTGTTAATTTACAGTAGTGCTACTGGCTAGCACAGAAAAAAAAAGGGTGAGGGAACCCAGAAAAAAAACAATACTGACCAATGTTTATTTTGGATTTATACTGAATGCACTCTGGGATTTATTGCAGATTAAAAAAGAAAAAAAATTGTAAAATTAAACTTTTGTACTGGTTTTTCATCTGGTGATGGAAAAGAAAAAAGTGATCTCAGTTCTATACTAGCCCCAGTTAATAGTCTTGTCTTGAGTGTTTGAGGCAGATACTTCACACGATAAAAATAAAGGTAGAATTCTAAAACACAAGGGAACAAAAAAAACCCATCTAATCTTTATAGTAATTCTCAGCACATACTGATAAACCAAGGTTTTTTTTTTTGAGGGGGGGCAATTTTAAAAAATAAACTCTAGTAGCCTGATTTACTTACTATTAAATCACAATTCATCACAATTCCTGGCTGCATTCAATATGCTAAACCAGACCGTAGGATATTACAGTGCAGATAGACCTACACTTATTACAACTGGGCCCAAAATTTCTATAGTGAAGTGACAGTTTTAAGACCTTTCTTGTCACAGTTGTTAAGTAAAGTACTGCACTTATTAAGTTAGTAACAACTAACACAGTTGTAAGGTGAATGTGGCTTCCCCATTGACCTTTCTTGACAGAAGGTTGCAAAAAATGATCCCATAGGAGAACATCCAAATTTTGATCACGTAGCCATGGGGATGGCTGCAATGGTTGTGTGAAAAACAATCATAAATCCCTTTTTTCAGTGCCATTGTAACTGTTTTCACTAAATGAAAGGATAGTAAGTCAAGGACTGCCTGTATGGGGGTCACACAAGGTACAAATACACAGTGCAACCAGGCTTTGCCCAATTAACTATCATGGGTTCATACAAAAATGGTAAATAATCCATCAAAGTTAAAAATTACTATAGCTGGGTTTGTATGGCAATCTATGTTAAATTCAACCAAAGCATAAACCTTAGCACAATTGTGTAAATATGACACCAAAGTAAAATTGAACATATTTGAATATACTTGACCACATCTGAAGCTCTTCACTCAACTGATAAAGTTATATTGTGGAAGTGCTAATTATACATAGAATTGGGACATCAAAGACACGGATTCTCTGCTCCAGGCCAAATATAGAAAACTAGGTTGACAAAATTTTGTGTGAAGGAATGGAGAGGTCATGAAGAGAGAGAAAAAAGTGCCAGTCATCTTAGGTAATTCCAGGTATACTATGGAGTAAGGCTACATATTTGTTTGAATTTGAGCCCACTGATATCAGTGGAATTTGTTTTCATATAACTATGAGGAGTGCACTGTAGGAATCCTGATTTTTGCTTTGGTCAAAAGCAAAATCTGACAATGCAATGACGGGGAATAACACCAAAGTTTCTTTGCTGTCTTAGTCTCTGCTTATTCTAGCATCAAACAAGAGTTACTTCAGGTTGGAATTTAGAAATACCCCAAAGAATAAAAATAACACATGCATTTGATTTATGTTGAGAAGCTGACCTTCATAATATTTTTTTTAAATGATTCAGGAGAAATATTTTATTTAAAAGTTAGGGAGATATTTAAAATACTTCAGAATAATTTATTTAAAAAAATAATAAAGTAATAGTTATGTGTTGCTCTAAAGTTATTTTAAGCTATTATCAAAGAGGAAAGCTTATTTTTTAAAGTAAAAGCCAGAACAAATCCATCTTGGATATTTTTAAAATCAAGCTATGTGGGTGTTTAAAGGAAAAAATAAGAGCTACAATTTGAATAAGCAATCTCTTATGCTGTACAGTGTCAGGATTCATATTTATGTTCCCTGGTATAATAAATAAGGAGAGTAGGGTGAGGGGAATTTATATATGGCTTTATATAAAACATTTTAAATTTTAAAAAAACTTTTTTATTTTTTCAATTCTTAGGGAAATTAAAAAAAACAATTTCACTGAAATGGAGATTTTGTTTGAGATTCCTTTCTGCTTTGGTAGCAAACAGAACCTTTCTGTATAATATTAATAAAATGTTTTTTGAACCTCACAGAATAAGACTTTATTTTTTGCTTAAGCAGCTATGGTTAAGGACTATATATTTTGTAAATGTAGATTCAGAAACATTATTACGTTCCTCGAAGTTCTCATTCCAGGATACTGTGATCATAACATATTTTGCAGACTGCATAAAATGTTTTAGCATACACCATACAATAACGCTGGATTGGAGGATCTTGGTGGATCTTACCATTTGGCTGTCCATATGTAACACCCCTCTTAGCTGGACTGATCAGGCTAGTGATATAGTCACGTACGTAGGCGGGACATTTAGAGACCCTCTGACCTGCGCAGTTCAGTTGGCACTGGGACTTTGGTCAATTCGGATGGACCTGCTGACTCTCCAGCTTTGCCTGATGGAAGCTCCTGGAAACTTCCCCGGGGTGTGGCTGGAGTTCTTAGAGCCAATTTGCTCGGAACTCGCCGCGGGCCCCCAACTTCCTCAGATAAGTATTCCGGCACCTTCGGGATTGAGAAGTCTGTGAAAGGAGTGTATGATTGCTCCTTTTGGGTAGGACTTTGGCTAACTCATGCAGGAGTTACCTCTGGTTGCCTAAGATTGGAATGGCCGAGTCAGCCTCGGAGTTGATCAATGTGCCACCTCCAACTTCTACCGTCCTTAAGCTCTAAGCAGTAAGAGCGAGGGCCGGTGATTTCTATTGTTGTGGCAGGAACCCAGAGAGCTCCTCCAGTGTAGTTGTGGACATAGACTTGATCCCCTACTCATAGTTGACTGGTCAAATCAACAGGTGGCTGGCAGAATAGTTTGGGTGTAGCCAGTCTAAGGGAGACCTTAGTTGGCAACCCGTCAATAATTCAGAGGGGCTTCTGCCAGTTGTGGCATTTGGCGTGATGTATTGGATAAGGAGGAATTGGTCTACCCGGGTTGCCGATCTCTAGGCCCCATCCTGGATAGGGCTTCCTTTGCAGATCACACCATTCTGTCCACCTGACCATTACTAGCTGGATGGAATGGGGCAACCAGGGCATGTCTGATTCCCTGCTCTGCTAAACAGGTCTTGAATTGGATGGCTATAAATTGGGGTGCGTTGTCTGAGACCAGAACATCGGGCAGGCCATGTCTGGAGAAAAGTCTACATGGCACCTTGATGACAGCCTCTGCCATGGTGGTGGTCATGAGAACTACCTCTAACCATTTCGAGTAGGCATCCACAACTATGAGGAAAGTTTGTCCATGCATAGGGCCTGCAAAGTCAATGTGCACCCTGGACCAGGCTGCCCTGGGCTTTCTCATTCACATGCAAGTGCCTCTGGGGAGCCAAGGTGGCGCAGTGGTTAAAAGCAGCACTGCAGGCTACTGCTAGATCAGCAGGTCAGCGGTTCAAAT